CTAATTTTTTCGTGTCTAGAGGCCAAAGTTTATTAGTGATTTGGGGGAGAGGGAAAGAAGAAATCGTGGAATAGGGTATTCTGAATGACTGTTCATGGTGATGGGCTCATTCTGGAAATGAATTACAGTGAAGGTTGCACAACATAATTAACATAATAAATGCCACTGAATTACACATCTTCAAATGTTGATTGGCAAATAGTTTGTTATATCTGAGAGGGCTTCAAAAAGTTTGTGGGAAACTCAAATGAAAATATATTGAAATTTTCCATATATGATGATGGGAAAATAGATCTATGTGCATATATTTATAGGTTTAGTATTAAGGTAGCAGATGGACATTGGGCCCCTACTCAAGTACTCCCTCAATGCAAGGACATTTTGTTCTATTAAACTGGCATTCCATGATGCTCCCCTTCCCAACACAATCGCTGAAGACAAAGTGGGTGCATAAGCAAATGTGGTGAAGAAAGCTGATGGTGCCTGGGTATCAAAAGATACAGCATCTGGGGTCTTAAAGGCTTGAAGATAAACAAGCAGCCATCAGGCTGAGAAGCAACAAAGCCCATATGGAAGAAGCACACCACCCTGTGTGATCACGAGGTGTCGATGGGATCAGGTACCAGGCATAAAAGAACAAAAAATAATATCATTGTGAATGAGGGGGAGTGCGGAGTGGAGATGCAAAACCCATCTGTAGGCAACTGGACATCCCCTTACAGAAGGATCATGGGGAGGAGATGAGTCAGTCAGCATGCAGTGTATCAACGATGAAGCATACAACTTTCCTCTAGTTCTTTAATGCATCCTCCCCCCACTATCATGATCCCAATTCTACCTTACAAATTCGGCTAGACCAGAGGATGTACACTGGTACAGATAAGAACTGGAATCACAGGGCATCCAGGACAGATGAACCCCTCAGGACCAAAATCCAGGACAGATGAACCCCTCAGGACCAATAATGAGAGTAGCAATACCTGGAGGGGAAGGGGAAGGTGGGGTAAAAGGGGGAACCGATCAAAAATATCTATATATAACCCCACTCCCTGGGGGACAGACAACAGAAAATTGGGTGAAGGGAGACATCGGACAGTGTAAGACATGACAAAATAATAATAATTTATAAATTATCAAGGGTTTGTGAGAGAGTTGGGGGAAAATGAGGAGCTGATACCAAGGGCTCAAGTAGAAGGAATGTGTTTTGAGAATGATGATGGCAACAAATGTACAAATGTGCTTGACACAACAGATGGATGGATGGATTGTAATAAGAGTTGTCCAAGGCCCCAATAAAATGAATTGAAAAGAAAAAAAAATTTCCCACAATATTTTGAAAGTCCCCATGTGTGTATTTAATAAAATATACATGCTGAATAAAATAATTTTAATTGATTAACTTAGACAGTGGTAGTCAGATATTTTGTAGGAAAATAAGACTTTTTCTTGCATGAGATTATTTTGAAAATAAGAAATATTCCCTGATATATCACATGGGGTGAACGAACACTCATGGTCTATGGTTATTTAGTAATAGATACCAGGGAACTTCTAAAAGCTTAGGAATATGGAAATTAAAAGTCATGGAATTTTTCCACAAACTTTTTGAAACCCTTTTATATATTTCATCTAAAATAAATGAATACATTTCCTTTGTGAATCACAGTTTTTCATTCTCATTAAGTCTATGAGCAATAATCCAATGGAAGCTCAACTGGCACATTGGTCTCTTAAGAGATCATCTGAACTTGGCTGGTGATTTAATCAAAGTGGCAGCATCCTGAGACCACATGGAGACTGGGCAGAACCTACCACAGGGGGAATTCTTGTTTGTGTTGCAGCTGTCTCTTCTGTCATTTGACCACAACCAGGGGTTTCGTTTACCCACAATCAGTACACATCACGTCTATGAACCTTTTAATATTCTTTTTGTTGCTGTTGTTGTTGTTGTTATTAATCATTTTATTGGGACCTCATACAGATATTATAACAATCCATAATTTAGTTAGATTAAGCATAATTTTACAATTGTTGCCACTATCAGTTTCAAAACATTTTTTTTCTTCTTGAACTCTTTGGTATCAGCTCCCCTTTATCCCCTATCCCCCAGTAACCCTTTTATATTTTATATTTTTAAAAAAAATTTTTGCTGTATCTTACACCATCCAATGTACCCATTCACCTGCAATTCTGTTATTCATTCTCTAATAGCCAGGTGTTGGTTCTTGTTATTAGGTGCCATGAGGTTGGTTCCAACCCGCGCACAACAGAACAAAACACTGCCCAGGCTGCACCATCCTCACAATTGTTCCTAGGCTTGCTTTTGGCAGATGGTTGTAGCCACTGGTGTAGTCCATCTTGCCAAGGGCCTTCCTCTTTTTCGCAGCCCCTCTGCTTCACCAAGCCTGATGTCCATCTCCAGGGACTGGTCTCTCCTGACAACATGTCCAAAGGATGTCAGGTAGGATCTAAATAATTTAGCAAGTAAAGTGAAAGGAGAATTTAAATATTTTAGTTCTTCTCTCAATTCCACTCCCTCTGGGTTTTGAATATCATGTCTTCTTAATATCAGCAGATCTATAAAATGAAGATATCAAACCTACTCTCGCCAAGCTGATTCTGACTTGAATGGATCTATAGGACAGAATTTTGCTACTGTTATGAATCAGGCGATCCCTGTGAAAGGGTCGTTCGACCCCCAAAGGGGTCTCGACCCACAGGTTGAGAACTGCTGTTCTAAGGGCTTCTCTCCAAGTTTTGCTTACAACATCTATAGCCCTTCAAAGAACAAGGTAAATGCATCTCCAGAAAGGATTACAATGAACAAGATCACATGATCATTGTAATTTCTGATGTCAAAAGAACTAGTTCCCTACAGATAAGAGTCCCCTTCCAGTGCTCGCTTCGGCACCACATATACTAACAAAGAGTCCCCTTCTGAAAGAGCTTGAGCCAAAATACTGGCAGCACTCACCTCCCACCAGAGCTCCAAAACGCCCATGTGCCTACTAGACTGAACTACCAGAAGTATCTGCAAGCATCTCAAATTCAACATGTTCAAACCCAGAATTATAAGATGTATCCCTTAGTCCTTCTGCCTGCTCCTACCTGTTACGTGCTTTCTCCTGTGTTTCCACCATCCTTGTCACAATGTAGGCTCTCATTGCATATCACCCATACTCTTGAGTGTTCTCCCAATTGCGCTCCTTGCTCCAGTTAGCCTTGTCTAGTTTGAGTCAGGATCAACCCTCTGGCAGTGGGTTAGTGGGTTAGCTTGTTCTCACAGAGTTGCAAGGTTATTTCAAAAATCCACACCTGTTCATGACCACTCCTTTCTTTAGAAGTGCTACTAGTGCAATGAATTGGACTGCTAACCAGAGAGGGCTTTTTACAGTCCTACAGAGCAGTTCTGTGTCCGTGCATCACTATGAGTCAGGTCGACTCAACAGCAGTGGGTATGGTTTGCTTCATGTCTTGCTGTGAAGAATGGGTAGACTAGCCTTAGACTGAGGCTGATTTAGAAAGTAAGACATCTTGATATTTTCCATATTGCCTAAATGTATCCATTCTGACAATTCCTTATTGTACACAAATGACCAATGGGACCGTTTTACAACATGAGGCAGCAAAATAAGATTTAAGTACCTTCTTTCTATATCTGGTACCCTTGTCCTAATGTCAGCTCTCAGTGCATCACACCTGGATCCTGACTCTGGCCTCCTCCCTGATTTTCGATGATGTAACAAACACCTAAACCAAGCTTTTTGTGTGCAAATTTTCTGTTACCTTCGAGATGTAATTTCTTGAACCAGCAGGACATCTCTCTGAAGTAGACAGATATCAACTGCATCTTAAAGATGGAGAAATTGAACTACAGAGGAAGCTAAATGGTTTTATGAAAACATGCAGCCAATCAGCCATGGAATTGCAGTTAATCTCTGGCTCAGCCCATGGTGATTTCTTCCAAATGGGGAGCCAGCATGGGCATGCGGCAATACAGAAATGAAATCAGATCAGTGAAATATGCATAATAGCACTTTCGCAAACAGACAGGGATAGAAACAAGCAGCACAGGTCAAAAACGGGGAAGAAAGAGAAATTGATAGGAGGAAGAGGCCATCTTTTTTAGGATGCCATTAGGAGCCCTGGCGGTCTAGTGATTACACATTAGATGCAGCTCAAAACAGCAGCTGCTCCAATTGGGGGAAGATGAGGCTTTCTACTCCAATATAGAGTTGTAATCTCAGAAACACAAGGGGCATGTCTACCCTGTCCTATAGGGTTACCATGAGTCAGCATTGACTTGAAGATATCAGAGCACCTTAGGCATCAGGATACTATTTGTATTTTGGTTCAATCACCCAGCAAATTGAGACAGGTCCGCTTGACCTGTGTTATTTGACATACCAATATCTCAATATGCTTTTCATTTCCTATGTGGGTTTGTCATTGCCATGAAAGCAGAAATTTCTTGGGAGTCACGGGCTAAAACACACTATAATATGAATCCCCCACACATTCTCTACCCAAAAAAGAATTTGGTTGGGGATTTTTTTGAGTGGTTCAAAAGCTACAGATATACTGGTGACCAGATGGTTAACAATACGGGGACTGAAGTCAGTGGAGCGTCTGAACCCAAGCTCTACCAATGACTAGGCGTGTGGCTTTAAGCAAGTTATCCATCTCTGTGCGCCACACTGCGACCTCTGAAAAGGGTAATAGTGACGCTGTGACAGTGCGTGGCCTATAGTCTGCAGTGAAGATTAGGTGAGCTGCTTAATGCCGAGAAGGATAGCTGGTGCATGGCAGTCATTCTGTAAAGTGCTTTCACCTCTGGAACACACCAATATCCCACATGCCCCAAAGCCCAGGAGAGATAGTCGGATTCTGGTAGATTTGGAGAAGGAGACATTTAATTGGCTTTCCCAAATGAAATGAGATGCTGAAAGAAACTTGAAGAAATCACTTAAAATATACTTTTACAACAAACATTTATTTATCCCACATGCCATTCACAACATAGGAATAGAGCCAAGAAGAAAAAGGGGCACAGACACGCTGTGATTTACGATCACTACAGATGATCATAAACAAAGTCACCGATTGAAAAGCCCTTGCAAGTGTGGCACAGTTCACAGAGAGGGAAGAAAGACAGCCGCAGGTTGAACCGGCCATGGAGCGGACATTCAATAGGAAGGACAGGAGCAGCAGTCTCTTCTTCTGGCATTTTCTTTGTTTCCAGGAAGAACTGCTTCCATTGTCATGCATTTTATTTTTATCCAGAGCCAATCAACATATTTTCCAAGGCACATTTCCTCTTAGATCTTTCACTGTTCTAGTTATAGACCCTAACTGTTCCTTTGCACCTATAAGAGAAAGGCAAAGATTGCGGCTAAGAGTTACCTTCAAGCCTGCTCCAACCCGTTCATGGTGATCTGATGTATAAAAACCGAAACGTTACCTGGTCATGAACCACCTTTGTATGGGGGGGGCCTCTGGTGGCGTAGCTTTACATGTTAAGCCATGAACCACAAGATTATCTGTTTGAAACCACCGGCCACTCTGGGGGCAAAACAATGAGGCTTTATCCTCCCTGTATGAGTTGCAATCTCAGAAAGCCACAGGGGCAGTTCTATCCAGTCCCACAGGGTCACTGTGAGTCTGAGTCGACGTGAAGGCTTGCCACCATCTTGGTACATTAACGTGAGAACGAGTACTGTTCGTTAAAACGATGCATATTGAATTATCTCTACCATATTGAGGCCTGTGCTTGTGGAAGCAAGCTAGATCCAATGCATTGAAACGTGTCTACCCAGATGTAGCAGGAAAAAGAACAGTCACAGAGCGAGCACACACAGGAGTTCAAAAGAGGAGCTGGCCGCCAACGTGAGGTAATTAGTCCGCCCATTCCTCCTGTTTTGTGTCTCCAGTATTTATTGGAATCCGTTTACAGAACCTGGAAATGTGGTGATAACCCTTTGACTCCGAATTTAACAGCGATGGGGGCTCACACACTGGGATGTGGGCCAAGCTGTTTTTACACAGCCAGCTGGACGGGACCATTCAGAACCCAGGTAGCACAGGTGGTGGTTCAGAGAACATCCACCGTTTCGTCCTTGCGTCCTCCAGCATCCCGGCCACCTTCCAACAACCTGGAAGACACCTTGGTCGCGGTATCATCTCCCTGGTTCCCACCGCCTTCCTTGGCCTCCTCGTGGATTGAGGGTGGCAGGCAGTCCTGCTCCGAGTTACTCCGGACAAAGCCGGGTAAAGTCACGTGGCTTTCGGTCTGTCCGCTGACCGTCTTGGCCACTTTGCCGGAGAGCAGCACCACGCGAGTGCTGGCCGCCACCTGCGACTGGCTGCTGGTGCTGTGCGTCACGGTGGTCAGCACGGAGCCATACCTGTGGCTGCCGCACGGAGGGGCCTCCTTCCAGTCCAAGGACAGATTCCACCGATTCCACATCTTCCTCACCTCGGACTGCACCTAAGCCGCGCGCACACAAACACACACGCGCATACACACACGCACACAAACAGTGTGTTAAAGCAAACGGGGGATCCTCAAGCCTTGGAACAAGGGCCTTTGGCCCAGTCTGAATGAAAATGACAGTTGTCTTGCATCTACCTATCCTCAGTCCCTGGCCACCCTAAGCACAGTGAACCCAACCACTGCCCAATGTGCCGCCACGACCATGGCTGATGGTGGGTAAGCTCAAAACTCGGTGCCAGCGAGTCGGGTCCCCTGGAAATGCAAATGGCTTTTATGGGCCGGTTTTTCCAAAGTAGATCACCAGGCCTTTCTTGGTCTGCTAAATCCTGTCCAGCGTCAGAGCAACACCCCTGCCTCTCCCCCCACCCCCACCCCAAGATCAATGCATGGTGGCTGCTCATGAACCCTTGCTTATCTTTAAAAAGGTCCTGTCATGGTAGTGGGAGCGGGGAGGAAACATTTAGGAACTAGAGGAAAGTTGTATTTCTCATCATTGTTACATCGCACCCTGACTGGCTCATCTCCTCCCTGAGACCCCTCGGCAAGGGGATCTCCAGTGGCCTACTAATGGGCTTTGGATCTCCACTCCGCACTCACCCCATCATTCACTATGGTAAGATTTTTTGTTCTGATGATGCCTTACACCTGATCCCTTCGACACCTCGTGGTTGCATAGGCTGGTGTGCTTCTTCCATGTGGACTTTGTAATCCAGGAAGGATGAGCCCTATAGGACCAGTGGTGTGAGTGGCAAAACAGGGAGGGGGTAAAGAGAGAATGGGTAGGAAAGAGGGAACCGATTACATGGAACTGTGTGTGACCTCCTCCCTGGGGGACAGACAACCGAAAAGTGGATGAAGGGAGACGTCGGACAGGGCAAGATATGACAAAATACCCATTTATAAACTATCAAGGGCTCATGAGGGAGGGGAAAAATGAGGACCTAATGTCGGGGGTTTAAGTGGAGAGAAAATGTTTTGAGAATGATGTACAAATGCGCTTTACACAATTGATGTGTGTATGGATTGCGATAACAGTTGTATGAGCCCCTAATAAAATGTTAAAAAAAATTGTTTTTTTTTTAAAAAAGGGGAGAAAAAAAAGGTCCTGTCAACATGTCCTCATGGATTCCAGCCTGGGAAGTTTATTTTTTTTTACTTGGAATTCAATATCAGTGTGAAGAATTAACTGGACTAAGACGTCCACTGCCCTTGCATATAATAATACTTTGCATTCCACGTTGTTTCAGATCAGGGCTTTGCCGATGAGCTGGTATAAAGGCACCAGAGGATGGGGACAGCGGTTCCCAAACACCCAATCGTTACCCTGCAGTCAGTGCCAACTCATAGCAGCCGTATCTACTTCATTTTCATTTTCTCAAAATCACCGGTAGGTAAAGTGCCTTCCTAATTCATTCACTGCCCAGTGTTGCTCTGCATTTCTGGAGATTCTAAAGAGATTTGGGGCACCTATGACGACATTTACAAAGTGACTGGAAGGCAGACCTGCCGGGCACTGGACTTCCTGAAAACCTACCTCCCCGTTGCAGTAGCAGTAGATGACGGACACAAAGAAGCCCTGAAAGACACAAGGCGGAGCGTTAGCTGGGCTGCAACTCAGGAAGCACAAAACATCAAAGTACCCTTTATCAAAATGAATAGCTTGACATTTTTTTCATTCTTTCCCCAAAAAATCACTTAAAAAAATCTCTCCGAAGGGTTTCAAATCCTTACTCCCTATTAAATGTATTTTCTATCTTCCCTTGGTATCAGTTGAACCAAACAAATACCTGAATAAAGCACTCCAAGATACACTGAGAGATGGTTTCTATTATTTTTATTTCTTTTATGTGGCAACTCAAGGATTGTGTAACCCCCTGGTTGACTGACCCGAGATGTATAGAGACAGGGTGATGGAAACATGCGACATAGAGTAGTACGCTAAGAACACAGAAACGTTTTTTATCATCCATTCATAAACACGGATTGGGAGGAGGAATGCCTAGGAGCGGTTCTGGCTTACAGGAATAATTGGTGAAAAATGCAACAGACAAGGTGCCTGTTCTTACATGCTAGGTGGGACGAGGCATGGACAAAGCATAAGCAGATGCTGACACAAGCAGAATGCAATATGGGCAGGGCTAGGTGGGTATTTAAGAGATGTAAAAGAGAACCGTGGCCATATTGGATGGGGCAGGGGATCCCTCCGACACCCTACGAGGAGGTGGCATTTGGGTAGGTTTGAAAGACAAGAAGAAAGCAGCCGTATAAACATGAAGGTGGCGAGCAGTCCGGGCAGAGGGCCTGGCGACTAGGAGCTAGAAGCAGGAAGGGGCTTGGCATCCTAGAGGAACGGAGATGGCTAGTGGGCAGCAGTCAGTGTATGGATTAGGTAACCGTTGGACTTTATTGAGTGCAACAGGAAGCCCCTGGTTATTTGGGGCAGGCAAGTGCCATGATCAAATTCATACTTTTGAGGTTCTTCAGACGGTTGTGTCAAGAATAGAGTTAAGGGGGCGACAAATGACTAACCAGGAAGCCGAGTGAGGAAGCGCTGTCTGTAGCAACCCAGGTGAGAAAAGGGAGGTGAAGCCTGAAAGCCACCTCTCCCCTCATGATCTTCCTTTCTCCTCCTTCTCCTCCTTCTCCTCTGCCTTCTCTTTCACTTTCATTTCACTTCTTTCTGGAATTCCCTTTCTACCTTTTTTCACTTGCCCTTTTGCTTTTGGCTTGCCTTTTATTTTCCTGTGTGTCGCCCCCACAAAGGAAATACTGCAAATATGCACCCCTGTCTCACCTCACAGATGTTTCTTGTGAGCTGCCCCTGTTGTAGATGGACATGCACAGAGGCCAGAGGACACACCCCTTCAAACCCTGGGGGCCTGGAGCATGGACACCACAGAGAAGGGTGGAGGAAGGGGTGGGAAGAGAGAAAGCAAAAACAAGTTTCAAGGGATGGGGTTGGGGGTGCTCCTTACCTGGAAGGAGTTGAAGAAGAGCTCACAGTGCATGCGGATCTCCCACCAGAGCCCTGTGTAGGAGTGGGGCAGGCACGCAAACACGATGTAGTGCATGCCAAAGACCAGCACCAGGACCAGTGTGGATTTGGCGAGTTTCCTGAAAGGGAATGGTGAAACTCTCTAGAGATCAATTAGGAAGCCCTGCAAGGAGCTCTGAAGGCACAAGTTAAGCAATCAGTTGCTAACTAACCCAAAGTTTGGCTGTTCAAACCCACCTGGTATCCACAGGACAGAAAAGGCTCCCATAAAGATTTTTTTAAAACCCTGTCAATGAGTCACGTCCAACTCATACTAATCCTATTGGGCAGGACAGAACTGGAAACAGGAAACCAGTGGGTTTCCAAGGCTGGAAATCTTTGTGGAAGCAGACTGCCCCATCTTTCTCCCAAGAGGGTTCAAACAGCCAGCCCATTGGTTAAGCTAAATCCCCTTAAAGATCACCACACACACACACACACACACACCCCAAGCTCACTGCCATCATGTCAATTTTAATTCATAATGACCCTGTAAGATAGAGAAGAATTGCCCATAGGGGTTTCCAAGGCCACAAATCTTCGGGGATGCAAACTGCCACATCTTTTCCCAAGTGTGTTCACATAGCCAGCCTTGTGTTTAGCAGAGGAGAACATAACCATGTGTCACTGTTGTTGCTGTTGTTGCTGTTATTGTTGTTGTTGTTAGGTGCCAGCTAGTTGGTTCAGACTCATAGGCACCCAGCGCACAAGAGAACGAAGCGCCATCCTCACAGTCGTTACGTTTTGGTCTGAGTCCATCGTCGCAGCCACCGTGTCAGTCATCTTGTCGAGAGGCTTCCTCGTTTGTGCCGCCCCTCCACTTTACCAAGCATGGTCCTTCTCTGGGTCTGGTCTCTCCTGATCCATGCCCAAATACTTCATCACAAGACTTCTGCCCAAAAGCGGAGAAGGCAATTCCTCACGGGTTCACTGTGAGTTAGAATAGACATGTCCGAGGTGCCCCGTGGCACCCGCAGAGCACCCCCTAGTAATGCTAGCTGGTGAAGAGAGCTCACAAGGCTGGCCTTTCACCTTGGGACTCCACCACTCCACGAGGGCCTGTTTTTATGTCCTCTTGTCATTTTATACTGTATCAGGTAGTCAATTCCCACTTCTCAAGCACTCAGCTGTTATCCTACAGCAGTGCTTCTCAACCTTCCTGGTGCCGCGACCCTTTCATACAGTTCCTCGTGTTGCGGTGACCTCCCAACCATAACATTATGTTCATTGCTACTTCATCACTGTCATTTTGCTACTGTTATGAATCGGGCAATCCTTGTGAAAGAGTCGCTTGACCCCCAAAGGGGTCGGAACCCACAGGTTGAGAACCGCTATCCTAAAGGCTAATGGTTCAACTCACCCAATGGACAGGAAAGAAACCTGGTGATCCAGAAAGATGACAGCCAAAAACAGCCATAAGAGGCAGTTCCACTCTGTCCCACGGTGTGACTATGAGCTGACAATGGCTCAACAGCATCGAACAACTGTTTCCCTGGGATCCCGAAGTGGTCCACCTAGGAATGCTCACAGCTCTCACAGAGACGTTGACGGCCCAAGGCCATGCAAATGCACTCAGAAGGAAAACATGGCGAGCTCATCCCAAAGCCACGGACACTGAGAACCCCACAGAGCACACTTAAATCCTGACACACGTGGGATTACCCTGGGTAGGTCTCCACTCAATGCTCTTGCATAAAGATATCACTGTTATCATTTTCATTTTTCTTGATTAAAGCATGCTCTTTTCATAAAGGTGGTTTCTTTTATGTCTCAAAAAGTGAATAACTCCTCCATTTGGTCCTTAAAACACTTCCTTCCAAAGTTGGAGTGACAAATACCACATGATACAAGCATCTCACCACCACGTATAGGTCCTTTAGAAATAAAAACTGTGGCCCCAACAGCTCTGTGCACACCCACATCCATGGGAGGGGGTCCTGGGGACACTGGTGGACTGTGGACTGTAAGGCTGGTGGTGGAAGCCCACCAGCTGCTCCACAGGAAAACGATGAGGCTGGCTGCATGCAGAATGAGTTACAAAGTCTTGGAACCCCTGTATAGGGTCACCCTTGAAGATGTGTCGGGATTCACTCGACAGCTGTGGGGTGATGTTCCTCACAACACTGTTCACAACAGCAACAACAACAAAAAGAGGTGGAAACCAGTCAAATGCCCTATAACAGAAGGATGGTAAACTAAGTAAGGAACACATACATCACTGAAGAAGGATGATGAGTCTGGGAAACCGCTCAGAATATAGTGGAACCTGATGGGCATGCTGCTGAGTGAAAGAAGTTAATCACACAGGATACATCCATGCTGGAGAAAACCACAACTGTAAGAAGTCGAGAGGCCTCAAATACTTTGAGGATTGCCAGGGGTGGGAGGGGATGGAGTGCAAAATACCAACTAGAGGGTAGACATACACACAAAGGGGCAGTCAACAAACAGCAAGAGGGAGGTCAGCCCAAACAATGATGAAGCAAAGGAAGCCACTGAGAGGCATACAAGAATGTTGTTGTTGTTGTTGTTTTGTTTTCTTTTGTTGCATTATTTTGCTCTGTCTTCTTTTTTGTGCATATTATTATCTCTGCAGGTCTGTCTAGATAAGATAGGTGGGATAAACAATCTGGAGGAGAAAACAATGGACCAACAGTTCCAGGGGGACATGGGAGAAGGGGGTAGGAAGTGGGTGTTAACAAACCCAGGGACAAGGGAACAAGTGATCCAAAATCAATGACGAAGAGGGTGTAGGATGCCTGGCAGGGTATGAACAAGGGCAACGTAATCAAGAGAAATTACTAAAACCTGAATGAAGGGCGAACATGATAGTGGGACAAGAGTAAAGTAAAAGGAAATAGAGGAAAGAACTAGGAGGCAAAGGGCATTTATAGAGGTCTAAATACAGGCATGTACATATGTAAATATACTTTTCTATGATGATGGGGAACTATATCTATGTGCATATATTTATAGGTTTAGTATTAAGTTAGCAGATAGACCTTGGGCCTCTATTCAAGTACTCTCTCAATGCAAGAACACTTTGCTCTATTAAACTGGCATTCCATGATGCTCACCTTCCCAACACGATCGCTGAAGACAAATGTGGTGAAAGAAGCTGATGGTGCTCTGCTATCAAAAGATATAGTGTCTCAGGTCTCAAAGGTTTGAAGGTAAACAAGCAGCCATCTAGCTGAGAAGCAACAAAGCCCACATGGAAGAAGCACACCAGCCTGTGTGGTCACGAGGTGTCGATGGGATCAAGTATCAAGCATCAAAGAACAAAAAATCATATCATTGTGAACAATGAGGAGTGCAGAGTGGAGACCTAAAGCCCATCTGTGGGCAACTGGACATCCCCTTACAGAAGAGTCACAGGGAGGAGATGAGCCAGTCAAAGGCAATATAGCAACAATGAAACATACAATTTTCCTCTCGTTCTTTAATGCTTCCTCCCCACCCCACCCCCACTATCATGATCCCAATTCTACCTTACAAATCCGGCTAGACCAGAGCATGTACACTGGTAGAGATAAGAGCTGGAAACACCGGAATACAGGACAGATAAACCCCTCAGGACCAATAAGGAGAATAGTGATACCAGGAGGTCAAGGTAAAGGCGGGGAGAAAGGGGGCACCAATCACAATGATTTACATATAACCCCCTCCTTGGGGGACAGACATCAGAAAAGTGGGTGAAAGGAGACATCGGTCAGTATGAGACATGAAAAAATAATAATAATTTATAAATTATCAAGTTCATGAGGGAGGGAAAAATGAGAAGCTGATACCAAGGGTTCAAGTAGAAAGAAAATATTTTGAGAATGATGATGGCAACAATGTGTTTGACCCAATGGATGGATGGATGGATTGTGATAAGAGTTGTACAAGCCCCCAATAAAATGATTTCTATTTTCAAAGGAGGAAAGAAAGGCAATAGTTTCCTTTTCCTGTCTCCAGGCAAGTTGGCTTTCTCTAGAAAGCCTGGTCCCTGAGAGCTCCCAAGTTTTAAATCTTAGAGCTATAGCAATTGAACAAAAAATGACTGCATTTGCTGGTTTCCTGTTGAAACACACTGAGAACGGTCTATGAGACGCCCAGGCCAAATCAGATGAGTCAGTGTACAGGAAGAAGAATCCGCTAGCAAAGGCATTCTGGGCAGACAACCCCATAGGTGTCTGCTGATAGCCGCCTTCCATCCCTGCCAGGGAGCTGATTGCCACGGCACAGCAACCCTGTAGGACAGAGGAGAACTACCGAGGCTTACAAGCCTGTTCCTCTCTACTAGAGTAGACAGCCTCATCCTTCTTCCTCAGAGAAATGGCTGGGTTTGAACTGCTCAGACCAACACATAATCCCCTGCATCACCAGGGCTCCCCATGGTAGCCTCCCAGATGGAGGCAAGTGATCCCTGCCTTCTCCTTACTCCGTATGCAGCCCCTCCCACCTTATGGGTGGGTTCTTCTGCATGACGGCATGGGACTTCTGCGATTCAAGCTCCAACTCAGAATTGAACCTTACTGACCCTACAAGACAGGACAGAACTGCCCCAGTGGGTTTCAAAGACAGCAACTCCTGGATAAGAAAGACCGTGGTTTCTGTCTTGGGCACACCTGTTGGCTATGGGATTTCTCAGAGGAAAGCAAACCTCCATACTGTGAGCAGTCCTTATAGAGGGGTCCCCTCAGTGGAGTTGAAACCACTGACCTAAGACCAGCAAAAAAGCCCAGCCCTGCCAACCAGCGCAGGAGCAAGCCATGAACTGCATTTCCCAGTAAGAGTTGCCAGGAAATAGTATTGACGCCCCGCTCTACCCAGCAACGATGCTCCTGGATTTCTAACTCTCAGAGACAAAAAAAAACCTTAAAGTAGGATAAAATAATGAGCATTTGTTGTTTGAAATGGCTAACAATAAAATAAGAAAACTACAAGTATAAAGTCAGTGACTCGGCCAAATAGCTTAACCAAAGATAAGTACATAAATAAACAAGCAGACCAAAACGCGCATGCTAACTGCTCATCCTTTGGGAGGCTGTACTCTGGCCCTTCTGTTCGTCTTTAGGGTTGCCTGCTGCTTTTTTTCTTTTTTCCCAGCGTTGGGGCCCGAGTTACTGATTGTGCTTAGTTCCTGAGAGAGTTCACGTTTGCTTCTGGGTGGTGGTGCCGGTGGTGGCAGTTGGGCGTAGTCAATCCCCAAATTTCTCTTGCCTTCTCTGAATATTCTCTGGGTGCCAAAGACTCTATCTCAAATTGCCTAGAGATCAATTGTGTGTGTGTGTGTGTGTGTGTGTGTGTGTGTGTGTGTGTGTGTGTGTGTCTAGATGCTTCACTTACTGGTTTGTTTATATATATATTTTCTTCATATATATGTATATGTATATATACAAAAATTTAAATATAACTACAAACACATAAAT